AATTAAATTTCAATATTAGCGCATCATCGTATGGAGTGACTTTAGAATGGGGATTGTCATGTGGGTTAACCATTGGTTATGCTAGAATTTAGGAACTATTTGTTATATTTGAAGTGTTGGTTCTGATTGCAAGTTGATAATTACTTTTGTGCTTTAGTTGTCATTTAGTCACCGTTTGAGACTGCATTGCATGAGAACTTGAATTTTTTTGTTAACATACATTTGTGTTGCATTGATTATTCTATTAAAACACTTAGACTTGACCCTTTTGAACAATCTCTTAATACTGAGATCTCGAGTCTCATAAAACCCTGGAATCTAGAAATGTGTATACTGGGGCCTTAGAACTACTTTGTGTAACATATTTGTGCACTTTAATTGTTCTGTTTTTTCAAAATGTCAACACATTTCAAAATTGGAATTTTTAATGGAGAGTGAGATTTTTCGATTTTGGCAACAAAAGATGAAGAAAATTTTGGTTCAACAAAAAATGTCAAAAATCATAGATGGAAAATTTTCTACAAATTTGACAGAAGCACGAAAAGAAGATATGATGAACTTATTTACACTTCAATTATTTTACACCTATCTGACACTATTTTAAGAAGAGCTGGTAAACTTGATACTACAAAAACAGTTTACAAAAAGTTGGAGGACTTATATTTGCTTCAATCTACTCCTAATAAGTTGTACCAGCTTGAAAGGTTTTTCAATTTTAAAAGGGATCATTTAAAGTATCTTGATGACAATCTGGATAGTTTTAACAAACTTGTTCAAAATATCATTAATTGTAATAAGAATGTGTTTGAAACTTATAAGGTCATCATCTTGCTCAATTCTATGCCCAATTCATATAGAGAGGTTAAAAATGTGATTAAGTATGATAGGTACACCTTAACAAGTACGATTGTCATTAATTCTCTTAGAAGTAAAGATATGGAGACTAAGACTGAAAAGTGGATAATATGAGTGGTGAGTTACATATGATGATTGGGTAGAGCTCAAGATAGTAGTGATGAGAGTAGTAAGAAGAAGGGCAATAGGTTAGGACAAGTCCAGTGGTAACCGGTGTTACAGCTCTGGTAAGTTTGGACATTTTGTAAGGGATTGTCCATAGAAGAAGGATAAGCAGAAGGTTAAGATGAGAAGTAAAGCGAATGTGGCTATAAGATCGAGTGATGTGTTTTGCATGCTTAGTGGGTTAGGATTCATTTACAGTAAGTGTGTTGAGTGTCTTTTGGTATGGTGGAGTATAGATACCTAGGGATACATTAGTGATTTGTACTTGGGATGTGGAATGCGATATTTGGATCACAAGTGGAGAGGTGATTAAATGTTGGAATTTTTTATCTATGAAGACCCCGTACAGGTAGTGTGAAAGAGAAGCTTTTATCACTTCTGTTAGGTAGAGACCCATTATTCTCTTAGATTGAGAGAAATGATGTAATGATAGAAGATTATCCCTGAGGACTTAGGTTTACCAGTTAGACATAGGTTGAGTGATCAGTCTTATGAACCTGGTGTGCGATGAGAGGAGATATGTGTTCTCGAGGTGTGGCAAGACGGAATGGGATATGATAAGTGTGGTGAGATCTTTTCGTGGGATCATTTATGCATTTGTTGCATGTATTTTGACCATCATTTGATTAACTTGGTGTTAATATATTGTATAGTGTGAACATGTCTTCTGAAAAAATCTGTGAGTTATCCTATATTATGTCTTCATCCTATGAGCATTTGCTCTTGATTGTTTACCGTTATTATCTGCTTCTACATTGGTGTTATTTGATCTTAATCCTGGTGAGTACATGGAGCAAGTATGATATGTGTTTCGAGTCGGAAACACAAGGTAAAATTTGTGATTCCAATTTTATTGGTTGTCTTGATTATGCATGCATTACCTTTGTGTTTTGATTGCTTACAGGTTGATTAGGTATCAAGGTGGAGATTTATTAGGTTTTGATATCCAATGAATCTCAGGTTATGATGTAAATGTTGGATTGAATTTCTAGGCATTGGCCGATGAGTGAAATTATTATCAACAACCAAATCCAAAGGCGCGACCCGAAAATATATGGACCGTTGAAAGTAGTTTTAAGAAATTAATATTACTCACGGCCTATAAATATTTATCTATTGGATGGCTTTGAATCTTGGCTTATTTAACTCCTTTTATTGGTCCAACTAAAGCCTAACCTATACTATTTATGTGTTTCTCTTGACCTAGCCGTTTTGTGTGTGATTTATGCTGAGAAAGAAGAGAAAAATGTGACTGCATTTCTTAGAAAGGAAATCGACTGCCTTGAGTTTCAAAACCGGTGTCTTCTTCCTTCAATTTTGGTCTCCATCTTATGTTCCTTCTGTTGTTTTTCTTGTGCCTTTGTGGCTTACAAATCAACACCATAATCTTATCCTATGTGGGTAAAATTGAGGAGCAACCAAGGTAAATATAGGTTGTGGGTTGGAGCCGTTTTGGATTGGTTGTTTGGTAAAGAAAAGTAACGTGAAACTGAGTGTGAAAAACACCGTTTTGGAGATCCTTGGAGTGAGCTTCCGCGACACATAAGATAAAGAGTTCTATGCCATTGTTTCTCTACATCATTGGAGTCATTATCTCCTACCTAAGGAATTTATTTTATTCATTGATCATGAAGCTTTGAAGTATTTGCACACCCAACAGAAACTTAACATCAAACAAGCGAAATGGAGTGATTTTTTGTTGTCATTTTCTTTTGTTCTCAAGCATAAAGCAAGTATACAAAATCAGGTGATGGATGCTTTAAGTCGTAGACATTCTTTGCTTTCGATATTGGAAGTCAATGTACTGGGTTTTGAAGTGATAAAGGAGTTATACAGGGAGGATCCTTAATTTGCAAAAAAGTGGGAGGAATGCTCAATAGCACCTTATGTTCAATATTTGTTGCAGAATGGGTTTTTGTTTAAGAGGAATCAAATATGTGTTCCTCAATGTTCCTTGAGGAATACCATTATTATCGAAGCTCACTCTGGAGGGTTGGCAGGCCATTTTGGATGAGACAAGACAATTGCTCTTGTGAGAGAATTTTTATTGGCCTAAAATGGAGAAGGATATCTCCAAACATATTGTGTGGTGCAGAATTTGTCACATCACAAAGAATCATGGACAGAATACTAGATTGTACAGACTCCTTTCAGCTCCTAATTCACCTTGGGAAGAAGTTAGTATAGATTTTGTTGTGGGCTACCAAAAACGCAAAGGAATAAAGACTCCGCAATGGTTATTGCTGATCGATTTTCAAAAACGGCACACTTTATTCCGTGCAATAAGACTCTGGATGCAACTCATATAGCTGATCTTTATATTTTGTGAAGTTGTTAAACTTCAAGGAATTCCTAAGACTATAACTTCTGATCGAGATTCAAAATTTGTAAGTCGTATTTGGCGTACTTTGTGGAAAAAGCTTGGGACTCAATTGCAATTTTGCACAGCTTATCATCCTCGAACAGATGGACAAACACAGGTAGTAAATCGGAGTTCCGGAAATTTACTGAGAATCTTGTTGGAAAAAATATTGGGCTGTGGGATTTGCTTTTAGCACCCTACAATCAATCTGCTAGTCAAACTACTGGGCATAGTCCATTTGAAGTTATTTATGGGAAAAATCCTATTAGTCCATTGGATTTGGTACCACTTCCGGTTAATAATCGTTTTAGGAGAGATGCTGAAGCAAGGATCAGGCAGATCAAAGAATTACATGAACACGTCAGGGAGAGAATTCTCAAGCAAAATGAGAAAAAAAACACAGGAAACCAACAAGTTTTAATGAAGGCGATTTAGTATGGATTCACTTGAGGAAGGAACGCTTTCCTGGAGGGCGTCATGTTAAATTGAGGCCGAAAGCTGATGGTCCATTCAAGGTTCTTGAAAGCATTGATGAAAATGCTAACAAAATAGAACTTCCTGGTGATTATGGAGTTTCTACCACTTTAATGTCAGTGATCTTTCTCCTTACCATGACGAAGAAACATGTCTTGAGGCCTTTTCTCCAACTCGGAGGGAATGACACCAAACTTTGACCAATGCTGTGAAGTGCTCGTAAAGAATCAGCAGTCCAATTTTATCTCTTTGGGAAGCTCTCTTTGTCTAATTTCCAACACATCAAACCTTGCAATTTTTTGAGAGTTATAGAGAAAGTTATGACAGTTTGAATGAATGGTGCTCAGGATAGGTGGGAACTTCCAAAGTTTGACTCCATTAAATTTTCCCCCATTTTTTTTTTTTTCAATACAGTCAAGTTATGTTTTCAAGTGTCTGAGAATTGTGATTTTTAATTTTTAGTCATGGTTTTTAATTTATGCATTTACCCATGCTTGGAGGGTTGTTCCAAGTTTTCCTAATTAAAATCAACTATCACTAATGGAGTGGCAGTGACCGAAATTTTATGACTAATGTTCAGCCTTGACTTGTAAAGAAGAGCATCTTCTTAAGCTCTTATCCTTTGGTGGATTCCGATAGGTGGCGAGTTTCTTGTCCTATATCTCTGGCGAGTGTCTTCGGGTGGTGAATTTTTCTGTATCTCTCGGGCATTCTTGCTAGCTAGAGTGGTGAGCATTGTTTTTATTCTCAAATTTAGGTCGTTTTTCCTTTGCGTGGTGTCAATATGTATCCCACTGGTCTCAACCTGAGGTTTGGGCAATTTCCTTTTATTAGTTTTCTTGTCAAAAGAATCCAGTATCAGTTTTGGACTAGAAGAGGCCAAAACCCACACAAATAGAGAGAGAGAGAGAGAGAACTTATCAATTTGAGCATTATGACCATGAAATCCATACATGACATATCAGCCCTTGTTTCCTTTTGATTCCATTAGGATTATAAATAATTAATGGTTGTTCCTTCAGAAAACAGGGTGAGGTTGTATAAAGTGAATGGGAACTGGGCATAGGTGAAATTACAGTGAATCAAAATATACACAAAATCGCATTTAAATGCAATCTCCAGCTCCCACTGTCAAAAGAACTGATCAGCAACGTGTACCCTTCCTGCAACTAAGTGCACCTGATCCCATTGTCATGGAGCCAACCAGAGAAGAGGGCCTTGCACTTAAGCTCGATGCCTTGGCATAACTAGGAGATGCTCCAACCCCAGACCGAGTGAAGAAGGCACCATTGAGCATGAGGTCACCTTCGGATCTCCAGTTCCATTTCTTCCATTCGGTTTGTTGTGCACTCTCATGTTTGGTAACCTTAAAAGCATTGATAACATATTCAGATAATTTGTACTTTCTGCAAGATTAAAATCTGAAACTATCTTTTTTTCTAGAACTTGATTGTTTGTCCATTAAATGGGTGTTGGTATTGGATTCTCACCTCTTTTCTGAACCTATTATCTGGAGCAAGAAACCTATTTCCTTGGCTGTTGATCGTTGGACCTGCACTACCTCCAATCGCATACATTTGCCAATGGGTGTAGTCATTGTTCACCACATGAAAATATCCATGTCTGCATCTGTAAATCAGCATATCCTCAGTCACCTAAACTTGTGACGCTAGGAATATAATTATATTGTACATTTTTACTAGACCGTTCAAATATTACTATTATATAAAGGACTCTAAGAGGCCAGTTTTTAGTGCATGTGATGTGAGAGGCATGCGATTTTTACTATTCCTCTTTCTTAGTGGTATGTGACTATGTGTAGTTTGCTTTCACATCAAGGGTGAACTGCTATAAATCTGTGTGCATGTGTGCGTGAGGGTGACTTAGTTTGTTTATGTAAAAAACGAAAAAAAGTGTATTGATTCTTTGGGTGAGATTGATATGTACCTTGGCATCCTCTGCACAAGTCCTTCACCAAAATGGTTGAAGCCAATAGTGACTTGCATGTTCTTGTCTTGTGTGTAAGTATCACTATGCCCCAAGAGCATGACCTTATTGTGGTGTGTCATGTAGTTATTCGAAATCGTAATAGCCGTTGATCCATGGATTGCATCAATAAGACCATCATGACAGTTCGATAAAGAACAATGATCAATCCAAATGTGGCTTCCACCAAATATTGAAACCCCATCACCATCTGAAAGTGTTCTCCACCCATAGTGCTGTGGGGTGTCTCTCACATAAGCATTCCCCCCTTGCTTGCAATCATGTATGTTTATACCATGGATGATTATATTTGTGACATATTGAATTGTAATGCATGGTCCACCTGCAATGTGCACACTAGATCCTCTCCCATCGATGGTCTTAAATGAATTCATTATGAGTTCTTGTTTGAGCTTGATCACCATGTCCCTAGCAAATATGATCCATAGAGGTTTATTTTGAATGACACCATATCTCAAAGTGCCGGGTTTCGGGTTCACGGCGTCGTCTCCAGAGTCTGTAACTATATAGATATTACCATCTCTTCCACCTATGGCTTGTCTTCCGAACCCAATTGCACAATTCGCTAACTGCTGGCGGTTCTTCTCCCAATTGGGGTTGCACCGCCAGCAATCATCGATTGGGTTACCCGTGCCGCAAGAGAGAATTGCCAAATTTCTTCTTGATGAAGTGATATTGTCATGGACTTGTTGTACAACTAGTTCAGGGTCTTGAACAGGTGAAGAGAATGTGAAACTTGAAGTTAAGAGAATAAGTAATATTAAGAGAATAAGTGTTATTCCCATAATTGCTTATTTTCTTAGATTATTTGGTAAAAGAAAAGAGAGTGGAGAAGGAGATGGAGAGAGTAATGTGGTGTGGTTTAGAAAGGGGCTGGAAATTAGTTATATATACTGGGATGAGCCCAAATGTCCAAATTCATTCAAAATAAATATTTATATCAGATTGTAGGCTATGACTAATTTAAGCAAACATTCAGAATAGTGGCATGTGCCTACATTTCAAGGTCGGAATTAATTATAAGAAAAAAAAATATAAACTAAGGGGTGGTTTCGACTAGGTTGGTTGTTTTATTCACATTTAGGGCTCAAAAAAAAATTATATAGGCTCACTTTCCTTATTTTCCTGTCTCAATTATATAGTCTTGTTTTTATATTAAGAATATTTTTTTTGTTCGTTTACTAACATACTTTTATTTATTTATTACTTTCAATAATAATTTGTCACTAGTTATTGATAATTAAATGAGGGTAAATTAGGCCCTGTTTGGGAGGGATTAGATTTTTGTACATTAAATCAATTCTAATTTTCAACCATACATTTTTCAATAAAATAATATTTTCCATCACATCAATAATTTTTTCTTTTTTTTCAACCACACATTTCCCATCATATCACTATTTAAAATCAATTTTTCCCCCAAAAATCTCTTCCAAACAAGCTCTAGGAAAGTTTTTGTCAAAAAATATTTTTCTAATAACATTAAATAAGATTTCTTAATTCGTGTGAAAAACAAAACAAGCCTATATAAATGAGATTGAAGGAGTACTATGAAAAAGTAAACAAAAAAATCTGAATTTAAGTATAAAAATATTTAGTGAAAGAATTTGTAATGGAAAATGAGCTCGAGGGATAAATAAATTTTAAAAATAAAGGATGTAATGGGATCTTTCTATATGATCGTATATAAGATTTTCGTTCTACTTGTCTTTCGATTTGCACTCTCGAAAATGGTTAGTTTCTATTTTAACTATCGGTTACAAAAGTTCAATTTATTTTGTTGTAGAACAATTGCAATTTGAATATTTTAGAAAGGGAAATAATTTTTTTTATTATTATTATTTTCATGCTTGACGTGTGAACATTAAAAAAAGGAAAATTTCACATGCTTTTAACTGTCATAACCGTAAAACCCGCCGGATTTTGAAGAAAAATAAACATTGACTGCGCTCAACGGATGCTGACGTCATATTCCATTGACTTTTTAGACTTCCCTCACGTGGACACCGTAAGGTCCGTACTATCCATCAACTTGATGACGTGTCCACCATTTTGGGCCAAGGCACGTTGCCCCATGTGGGTTGTTACCCTTTTACAATGGCCCACATCTCACATATTATATTCCGTATAAATTTCATTTTTTCTTACTTTAGGCATTATTATTGTATCAGCACTTGTTTGGATCTATTTAAAATAAAAAATAAAAAAATCGTTCAAATTTATTTTTAATCATATATTTTATAAAATTCATAAATTTTTTCAAATTTTAATCATAAATTTTATCAAAATTTACTAAAAATTTAATTTTTAACTAAATCGAAAGGTGGCTAAATATTACTTTTGAAGAACTCTTGAATCCCTAAAATATTAGCCTTAGACATCCTACTTTGAAATAGAAAAATTCGAGCGTAAATCACTACTTGTCATACTTTTCTTTTGTATACCCTGAGTACGGATTATTCCATTTTATTAAAGCATAAGTTGTTTGTCGACATGTTACTATTATTCAGGAACCCTAAAACTTAGCATTTACGTATTCGATAACAACTTCGAAATATTTAACAATCTCAATCAAACGTCATGAAATAAATTTCTTACCTTCAACATAATATAATCAAGAAAATATACAATATTAGTTTAATTGATCATTATTTGACAAAATTCTTATCCTCTACAAAAGTCTTAGGTTAGATGTTAAGCACATGTACAATCATTTGTAGCCATGGAATGAGAATATATAGCCATGTTACTCAATGATGGTATGTTCACATTCTTTTATTTAGATTTAACTTTTACCTTGCTTAACTTGTACGTTTTGACTTTTCAAATAATGGTATGGTGTGTATGTATGTACACACCCATCCACGGCGTATGATTGAGAGGGTTTGTAGATGGGTAAATTACGGGCAATGGTCCCAACTTTTGACTCTCATGGCAACCTTGCCCTCAACTTTTATCTGTAAAATTTCTATCCCAAACCTTTGAATAATTAGTGGGTTCATCCTAAAGGACAATTTTGTCATTCTCTTAAATTTGCAAGATAAAATGTTGGGCAATTATATTCACACTACAATTTTTATTTCTTGCACCACTTTTTAATTGTACTTAAGGTTTTTAATTTTTGATCATTATAGCACTTATGCCTCTTAACAATTTTTCATGTTATTCTTATCCTCAATTTTTTTATTAGTTAACATATTTTATATTTGATAACGATTTTGTATCTAAAAATTCGTTGAAATGAAGTAAAATAATTTATTTTTCATAATATTTTCAAAAAATAAATAAATACAAAATACCAAAAGAAAATTCCTTTATTTCAAAGTATGGAAACAAAATATTTTGATATCAATCATCATCAAGGATAAGACGTACTAATTAATTGGAGGTTGAAAATAAAAATTCGACGAAAAGAGTTAAAAATGTAAGTGCTTCAATTAGCAAAGATCGAAGAGTTTAACTGCGATTAAAATATGGCGTATCAAACAAAAATTGTGTTGACAATATAACCACCCTAAAATGTTTTTAAAAAGACAAATCTACCATCGTCTTTTTAATAAACAAAAAGTAATATACAGGAATGAAAAATATAAATAAATGAAACTCGTCTTTCACTATTTTTGCCCCCATCCCATTCCCACCCACTCCAATCAATTGCTCCATTTGGAGTAGAGGTGCCCGGTCACCGCCATCAACCAACGATTCATTCATGATAAAAGTTTTGGACATATCTTACCTTAGAGCAGGGGCGGAGCCAGGATTTCTCCTCAAGTAGGGGCACAACTTATCGACGTTGAACGTCGAATTTTTGTCATGGATGAAATGATAATAAAAGTATAAAACAATAATACGACAATATTAAAAATGACATAATTTATAAATTACACTTGTTCCTTTCGAGTTTTCATATTTTGATATATTTGTACAATAA